GGCGAAAAGTTTGCCACATTGAGATTATATTTCTAATGGGTCCCTCGCGACGCAATAGTAAAAAATGGCAATGGCACCCCAGACATATTGTAGCCGCTGTTGTAGCGAATCACATATTATTTCGGTGCAAAGTTATGTGAAACACATTGTGTTCGCACTGGTCCCTGGTGTGACGTACCTTTAACCGTGTCTGACTCCCCTTTTTTTTTTAGATTTACAATTGTTCTTCAAAGACAAATATCTCGCGACGAAGTTTGCGAGAAATCGGATATTTTGTCTTTTAGATTTAGTCATGAAAGATTACTATAACATTTTCAAAACGATATTTGTGGCGATATTTCAGAAACATATGTTTATACATTTGTTAAATCTTAGTTGATGTATCATAGTTATATAATATAAAACTTCGATATTGAATATCAATAAGTTAAAAGATATTTTAAAACATCTACGTACATTATAAAATATTACAGGACATAATTAAAAATTTAAAAGTTAAAATATTATTACAATATTTAGATATTGGAATATTTAATTTCCTTTTGCATTAAATTTTAATGATAGATTTTCATTAATTCAAAATTAATTCAGATTTCTTTAATAAGAGATTGCTTTTGAAATATTAACGAATTAGAAATTAACGATTAACGATTAACGATATCTAATGTATTGCACGACGTGCAAGAGAAGAAAAGCTAATTTACTGACAATTAAATTCTAAGATCTGATATATTCTTAGATATTCTTATGTTGCGGCGTGAAATATTACCTTTGTCTAGAAAGGAAGCTTACTATTTATCTAACTTCGACATAAGAATCTGGTTTGGATTCCTTCTTATAAAAACTGTCAATATACTCGCGTTGTATCTTCCGCTACCGGCGGAATGCCGCTCTATGCTGGGGAAAGGATCTTTGTGCGATAATATTTTATCTCTGCGGAAAACAGGGGCGAGGGCGTTAAAGAGGGACGTTCGATTCGCGCGTGTAAAATTCAGAACTTTCGAGTTTTGCGTCCGTCGCATATATTTCACGTTTGGACATTCCACCTTGTACCTTTGTACCGTCCCTCCGCGCTTGTTCCGCGGCTTCCAAATTCGCCCACTCGTCGTACTTGAGAGTGCGGCAAGAAAGCGCTGAATAGATGCCAGACGGGCCACGATATTTTACTACAGACCAAACGGGGCGGAACGTAAAAAGAAGAACGCCTGGGATCTCGGTATACGAGAATGAATTAATCTCGGGATTTCGGTTGCGGAGCTTCGGGATTGCGGTAGCTTCCCGAAAGAGCGGGGTGTAACGATCGAGATGAGGGTGAATCTCATCCGGAAATAATTACGAAGCAAAAATCAAGGAGAATTGCTGATAATAAAAACACGACAATTACAGCTATTTCGGGAAGGACACAGATCAATTGACGGGGCACGAGCAGATGTATAATTCATAATGATGTATGATTTATGAAATAATGGAACGTGCAATTTATATAGAATAGGTCTCAATATACTAATCATTTTCACGTATTTCTAATATGTAGAAATCAATAAGTTTAAACTAACTAAGCGGAAAGCTGTGTATGAAAGCGTAATAATTACATTAGATAATAATAAATAATTACATTAGAAATAATTTGCCTAAACTGATAAAATGATTGACGTAACAGTAGATAGATAGAAGTAATTTTGCATCATATTATCTAAATTACATATTCATTGCAATATATTCCAATTTTCATTAAGAAATCGAATTAAATAAGCACGTTAGAAAGACTGAAAAAGAAGGAATACAAAAAAAAAAACAAGAAAATACAAGAACAACCAAAAATTTCAAGTATTTTAAATTAATCCTCAGATATTAAAGATCGGACCTTTGCAACTTCACACCACAAATTCTTTTTTTTATCTCGGTTTGGCTTTTTGCATTTTTTTTTAATTTTGCGGTTTCCATACCACGAGAAAGCGAATTATGTGCTTGCCTGCTAAAATAATTACTACGGCGAAGTGACGGTGTTAATTATCGTGTTAAGACTTTGTGTCGCTCTAGCGAATTATTATGCGCGTTGCGTGTCGTTAAATTGCTCCGGATTACCATATTCGGTTCATTCAGTACAAGCTCTACACGTAGAATATTATAAATTGTTAGGAAAAAAAAAATTATTACTCATTAAAGTATATAGGCACATATCAACAATACAATGCAATATGTCAAGCTTCAAAGAACAGAGAAGGCAATTGCTCGGCGAACTCAATCTTAGGAGAATAATGATAATTTTTATTTTATTGAATTTATATATATATATAAATTTGAAATTAATTGTTATATCACGAACGTGCCGTTATTTTTAACGGACTTATATAACTCAGCAGCTCAAAACTATTTTAATAAATCGATAATAATATAATTTGAAGTATAAGCACATATATTTCGAGAAAAAATATGTAATGCGAATCACATCTTCTTGCAAATGTTGGGTCATGTAAATATATATGGGTCAAATATCCTTAGTTGGCACGAACATAAGCGTTTTCATCCCGTTGTTCGTCAAGTTGAGTCACGTCCGTCCACCCTCTCACTCATGAAACAGACGGGTTACCTTGACCCCAAAGAAAATTTCATCAAAATATTGTTTAAAGAATATAAAGAACGCAATCATAATAATAAATTTTATTTTTCAGGAAATTATTAAATTAAATTATTATTAAACTGAACCAAATTTTTGAAATATACAAACAAATAAAAGTGCTAATATTTTTTGATTCATTTATTGAAACTATCATTTGTATCAAATTTTTTTTATCGACGAAGGCGAAAGTATTTCCTCTTTACTCTACTCGCGTGTTTTGTACTCGCTTTAGTTGCGATTTCTCGTCAGAACGAATAACGTCAAGAAACCACAACTCGAGGAAGTAAGAATTCCAAGATTGTGTGCCTTCTTCTTCATTTGTCGCATGAGCATTCTCGTTGAAATCGCACTTTCATTCGCATTAAGTCCGTGAAAGTTGCCCCGCAGAATATGTCACTGAAAATCGTGTCCTGATCCTGGAATTAAGGACGAAGTTTGCAGACGCTAAAGTTTCGCGATAAGAGAAAGCCGAGGGAAATAGTTGTTGTCCTTCGACGCTTTGTAATTTCAGATCTTTAAAAGTCGTACGGATCCAATTCAATCCTGCAGCTTTTAGATTTTATCGCAAAGATAATACGTGCCTCGATTTTGCAAATGCATATTACGGAAAAGTATATATCTTACCGTATAGAAATAGTTTGAAATTGCAAAGATAGCCTTTAATCTACGTCAAATTTTTTAATTATGTCAGTTTTTACTTTTCCCTTTTATTGCCGATTAAAAAAAGAAGCAAAATATATTAAAACACACGAGATTATCATTCTGTTTTGATATCGAGATTACGATTCCAACTTCTCTGGCTGGTTTTATAATCCTGCTTATTATTATACTATAAAGTTAGAGAGAAGAAGTTGTTTCGCAATATTTAACATACGTTAACTTTTAGCTGTAAATGTTTCACGTATTTCGCCCGGAGTACAAGGAGGAGAAGAAAGAGAATAATATTGCTTGTGTCTGCAGCTGCAGTCATGCGGTCCGCCGAAGTGGCACGTGTGAAAGCAGTCGTCCATGAATTTCATTGCCCTCATACGTGCTCGTGAATTCTAAGCGTGTGCTCGTGTATCAAAGAGACTTATACACTTTGAGTAACTTTATTGGTTTCGTCGCTTCGATATGCGTATCGTATTATGCGTATTTTATATATCATATAACCGGCCTGTTACGCGAAACTTATTGCACCATCGGCCCGTCGGCTACCCACCCTCTCTCGTTTTTATCATGACTTATTGCGAATTCTAAAAAGAAGTTTTAATAAAACGGAGTGGTAACTTCGGAAAATGTTAGTTCTATCGGGAAAACTCGCTACTGCTGACAAGCTGTTCGATATCTCGCGGTTTAATCCGGTTCTGCCTCGTGTTTTGTTTTGGGTTGTCAACGCTTGCCATGGCAAGTTTTTCGCCAGCCCGGTTTGAAATTTGACGATCACAGACATTTTTCACACGTTAAAATAATAATAGTTCCTTCTATTTTGTTTTCTTATCATTTTTTATTATAATTATCTGTCAATCATTCATCGATTCTGTTTAATTTATATCCGGAATAAATTGGATTAAAAATAAAATTCGTTCACGTGTATAATAAATTGTTATTTTTATTACGTACATTATTTTTCATAAAGCTTCATTAAGTAATAAAGTATTATTATTTTAGCGAAATAATAATTCGGATTTATGACGATGTTGGGTTTTACTCACGTTACTCACCCGTCGATAAATGGCCGTATTAAAAATCACCAGCATGATGAATGGGATCATGTAGTATACGAAGAAGTACATCCAATGAATATACAGGGTAACATAATATTCGTTGCTTCTCAGTTCGGTTGGATAAACACAGTACACCGTAATATTATACTTCCAATGCTTCTCGTTGTACACCTCGATTTCCCAAAATCTAAAGACATTCTAAGATTAACTTCACTAGTAAAAAGCATAATAATTTTAACTTGCCTAATCAACTGACTACAAATTCCCTTCTTTTTTTCCATCATTTTTTTTGTCCAACTCTTTTCACAATGAATATTTTTATATTATATTATTTTAAACGAGAAAGAAAACCTCAACATTTTATTGCAATTATTTTGCAATCAAAGCTTAAAACAAAGAGTTTAAAATTAAAAAATTGAAAACAATTATTTTCTTATATATACCAATTTTACATTTTTTTCTGGACGAGTATGTATAGAGAATGCGTATGAACAACATTGTACCGACATTACTTACTTGGGTAGATTGTAAATAAAGGCGAAGATCACTATGACCAGCACAGCCACTTGAGCCCGACCATAAGTGCAAAAGGATCTGGCTTTCAATGGATGGCAGACCGCGATGTACCTCTCTAAAGTCACCGTTAACGTCAGGTATACCGTCACAAATTGCGCAATGCAGGCCAGCGGATATAGATACCTGATGATCTTCGGATAAACAATAAATTTATAGTCGAATAATGCGCCTGTATACGTGTAGATTGCTGGCAATCCGTAGATTAACACCTGTAAATAATTTGCATATATGTATAATAAACGAATGAAAACTTTTGCCGGCTTCAAGCTTCCTTTCGCTCATTCATGTTTGGCTTTTATAATTTTTAATTGACAAATAAATAAAGTATAAATCAATAAAATAGATTTGCTTTTATAATTAAACTCGATATAAATCTTTGTATTCGTATTTATCAAAAATATTCCGTTTTAATTATTTTACTTTTTGCAAATATTATTTGCAGAAAATTTTTTGTCAAAAATAGACAATCTTTCTATTATTTCTATTATAAGACGCAATTATTTGCATGCGGATATGTGTCATCTTTACGTTTGCGACATTTGAATATACAAATAGTTAATCAGCTGGTAAGAAGGAGCGCGAGATCGGAGGGGTTTGCTTTAAATAATTAATTAATAACAGAGTCGATTTGTATAAGGTTTGTGCAGCTGCAAGGTGGAATCTTATACGAGCGTTTCGCTCTATCTCTTTTAAAACGGAAGATCCTGTTTATCATGACTGCGTCTGTTAGTCTTGACTTTATCTATGAAAACGCGAAACCGCGTAAGACGCCGCAACTTATTTACATAAGCTCGTCGTGTGATCTATATTGTTCTACGACATCCTGATGGGCCATGTATTTTCAGTGACATTACTTTTTCTTCCTGTCATGAATCTATATTGACAGGGATTGCTACAAGAATAACATCAAATATATAATAAAATTGTACTACATAAAAAAGATAAATTTAATCCTTAATATTAGTTTTTTATCATATGATATATATTTTTAATATTATAAATAATTATAATTTTCAATAAGGGAATTATCTTCGAGGAATGATTTACAGTCATATTATAAAATATTTTAAAAATAAATTTTTTTCATGTGTGACATTTACACCTTCTATAAAATAAACTATAAAATTTTTTTCGAAATTGTGTGTGGTATCTCATATAGCTTTTTTAAATAAACGTATGTAGTTGTAATTAAACATAATCATAATTTATTCAATTCACTTTTTTATTATATTTTTATTATATTTAATTATTTTATTTTTATTATATTTAGTTATTTTATTATACACTGACACTATATGTATTTTTCTACAGAGGAATTTTAAGATTTAAATAAAATTAAATTTAATGATGCAAATTACAAAATTTAGACGGAGTATTTCTACAGTGTTCTTTGCAACGAATTTTCTTTTCCACATTAATTTGCGGACACGTAATTCGTATACAGTCACATATGTATATCAGAGGTAAAAATGCGAGAGCAGAGATAAAGATAAATTATATGTTTAGAGAAATAGCTGAAATTATACGAGATAAACTGGGATGCGCTACTGGGCTGTATTAAAGAGAATTTATTTTAATGAAAAGCTCGTCGTATTAATGAAAGGCTACATCGTAAATTTACGAGTATGAAACAGGGGATTAAAAATGAAATTAAAAGAGAGAGGTCTGATTTCTGTAACAAAGTATTAGCCTATGATTTTTCATTGAAAATTGAATTTCGATATTTAACATTCGTTATCGTACGTCAAACTTTGTTAATCTTTTCAGACTCTTAACTACTTTGGTTAGTATGGCGAGGATTAATTAATTGTCAGCTATAATGAAGGCTAGAATTTTATATTTTATAATTTTACTCTTTTCTTAGTGAAAGATATTGGTACGATGGATGTTTCGAAATAATTTAATGGAAAATTATTATTTGTATAAGATATTAAATTTATGAGTTTACGTTTTTCCACAATAAACTGTAATAACAAATCAATTTATCAGAATATAATTAAAAAATATATACAATAATTAAAAATATATACAATAATTAAAAATATATACAAAATATATACAATAATTAAAAAATATAAGAAATATGAGATACGTTGTATATTTTAAATTGCCTCTCTATATAAAATTAACGTTCAGAGATTTAACATAGTGATTACATTTTCCGGCTTAATTCTCTATTTATTTTAAGTTTACAAGAGTTTACGATGGCGTACTTTTGTTAAATTTAAAATTTTTATTATATATAACACTAAATATATAATATTAAAATATTAAGTATTCATAAAATAATCCTTGAAATAAAATATGATTAAATTAAGATGCGTCTACAGTTAAATAAAAGATAAAATTTTGCAATAGAGCCGTACAGCTTAACGCTGAAAAGTCCTTCCATTCATCATTCTGAAACTATCAGTGGGTTAACTATAAAATATTTAATAAACGATATTATTCTGCATTTTGTCATCGCATGTCGTGTTTGCGTCGCGCTTGCGATAATTCTCTCGCAGCATCCGGGAAAACATCTCGTATATTCAATAAAAAAGGATTAATCTGAAATTCGTGCTTTGTCTGAAAAGTTGGCTCCTATCACTTTCAACATGAGCGACCTCGATTGTTTTGAGAGCTATTGTTAATAAGAGATAACGGTAACAAGGCGAAGGCGATAAGCCCTTCGAAATACAACCCCACTGACTCGGGAACGATACGTTGGATGCACTTTTTTTTTTGAAAAATTTTATCTGATGCGCATGATTGATTGGCAGTGGCCAGACGCGACGACGGTAAACGCTGGGTCATCCGATGGCAATTACGAGGCGTTCCACGATCCTATCGAGAATCGTTTCTGGTCGTGTGTGCCAATTAAACATTGATTTTCCGTACGGCGAGTTGCGATTCATCAAACGTCGCAATTATTTGCGG